TAGAGGGCAGGCTGGACCAGTGAATATGATGGAATGTCACCCTTGTGTCTAGGTTACTAATCAGCTGACTTTGAGCTAATCAATATAGATTATCTGAGTAGATCTGACGTTATTAGGTGAGCCCTTTTAAAGAAGGTGGGTGGAGCATCAGAGGGAGGCTTTCCTGCTAGCCTGAAAGGAGAAGTAAACTGCCTTGTAGTGAGAGAGGGCCTGTGAGTGGGTGGCCTGTATGAGCTGAGAGTGGCTTCGGGCCATCAGTCAGGAAGAAATAGGAACCTCATTCTTACAAGCAACTAAATTCTATCTGTCTCCATCCAGTGAACTGTAAATGCAGAGCTGGGCCTGGCTTTTAGGGCTGGCAGCTCAGGGACATCATGAGGCCACTGGTGTTTGGAGGTGGGAGGGGGAGGGGGAGATATAGGGGCTGAGGGAAGCAGCAGCAACCCAGGGTGATCTCAGTCCAGGTGAAATGAAGATCTATCTGTAATCACTGTCTACATCTCTTTGCAACATGCAGTGGATCTGTCCAGGGTAGAGGGGACTGGAGAAGGAACCACTGGGGCCCGTGAGGATGCTTCTATAGTCCTGATTTAGGCCCATGGAAAGAAGGGAGGGACCCCTGTAGACTCCCCAGCATGGCTAGACTGAGACTGAGGCCTTAACCTACTGGAAGTAGGAAAGATGTTCAGATGCTTTTGCTGTCTGGTCTTTCCAGTGTCAAAGGCCATTCTCGTTGGGATTGAGCTGCAGAATCAGGGCTTTATGGACCTCCCCCAAGGCTGGCCCCTTGAAGGCAGGCACTGCTGACTCACCATGCTGACACTTCCTGCTTCAGCAGATTTTTTCCTTGCTGCAGCAACCACATAATGTTCAGGTCAAGAACAGCAGGAGAGGTTGCTTGTTTGTTTCATAGAGAATATAATTGCCACTGGCTACTTTGCTCCTCATAGAAGATATTTGGCTTTTCACAAAGTAAGCCACCGCAAGTTGGGTGTCTATCCATATAAACGTGAGACTGCTGGTCAGAGATTATAGTTGGTCTTGGCCTCTTCCTGGTTGCTGCTCATGCTGATTGTGTCTCCTTCTAATGTGCCATGGCAAAGATGTGAGTCACTCACAAACATGTGAGTCACTTAATGAGGCATATCCCTTCAAATGGGATACCTGGACACTCTGCTTCAACAGGGGCATTCCTTGCTGTGGCAGCCATATATGGTTCAGGTCAGGAACAGCAGGAGAGGTTGAAAGGCAAAGGCATGTTTGTGTACAGTCTTGGCTTTTTTTTCCTTCTGGCTTTGGGCTGTGAGCTCATAAACAGAATGTTCTCAGCCTGGTGGCTCTGTGTATCAGTGCTGCCTTGTCACTTTAAATAATTGAGTTTACTATTGGTTGTTTAGCTCAGCATGTTAGCTGAGCTCTTCCTCTGTCTGAGGTACTGTAGACTGAAGAAACTGACAAGCTGAATGATCTCCTTTTTCCTGAGCTAGAGAATTCTTGAACTGGTCTCTATTCTCCTCTCCAGTGCCTTAGAAATAGTGAGATGGGAAGCTGCATTTAGAAGCCCCTGGAGGATGCCTGACAAGGGGGTGTCCAACACATGATGAAGTTGGAGCTCTTTTTGAAATGTTTCTTGCCCTTCCTGGAGAGGAGCCATTATTTATGCAGATGAAATAAGATGAAGAACTCACTTCTCTTGGCTCATGTGAGTATGGAGAAGAATGCCTCCAAAGAAATGAGAGATTGGTTTGACAGGCTCAGTCTTGTCACATTTTTTGGAAGTTAAGTCTGTGAGTTAGAGGGCAAATCCCAAAGCCCAGTGGCAGACTGTGACCTTCCTCGTCATCCTGCACCTGCGGGGGGTCTGCATGGATCACCTACCTAGACAGGTACTAATAAGGTAGAACATGGTAATCCATTACTAAGTTTGCAAATTTTTTCTCTTTGGTTCTCTTAAAACTGATTTTACAGCCATAAAGTTGGGTGAGGGAAAGATTAGATGGGAATTTGGGAGATGGGAAGAGAGGTGTAATCTGGTTCTGGGACACATTAGTAAAATATGCCATTTGGATTTTATAAAGACTCAAAAACTGTCTTCAAACCTTGGCAGTTCATAAAATCTGATTGCATGTTGTATACCACAATCTTTATTCCTCTGAGAATAAAGGATTCAGTTAAGGAGATCCTTTCTCTGGAGCAAAACCCAGCTCTTCTCATGGCAGTTGCCAGGGCCATAGCAAGGTCCTCGTTGGCACCGAGAGTCTGAAGGCAAAGGTGAGATTCCCAGGAGCAGAGCAGAAGGAGCTGTGGAGGAGGCACAGAGATGGGAACTGGGCCAGGTAGGGGGCTCACAGGCTTATGTAGTTTTGGATCCAGGACGTTTCTGTCACCAGAGATGCAATTCAGCAGGCATCAGGGTGTTTGCAACCATTTGACTCATATGTTAGTCACAGGATGGGCAGTTTCAAATAACTGATTAGGTGAAAGTCCTTGTGGATATGAATAACAGAGAATTTCCATAGAGATAAGGCCAGCCCCTGTAACAGGAATTGCATTGCAAAGTTTAACTCACTGATTCAAGCACAGTTGCTGTCTACCTTTTAACACGACCCTGTTCCTCTCACTACTCTTGAGTTGTCACCATAAGTGAATCATCGGTGAGATATTGCTTAGAATGAAAACATTAACAAAAATCAGCCCCTTCCTTAAATGAAATGCAACTGGATTTCCTAGCAGATCTTTCAGTTGACAGCCAAAAGGAATGGGGAACAGCACATCATTTCAGAGGGTTCAGGAAGGTTGAGGGTGGAAGAGCATTGGACCTGAGAATCAGGAGATGGAGGGAAGGGTTATAGAACCAGGTCCTAGTTTCCTTGTTGCTGGTGACTTGCTGTGTGACCCAAGGGAGTCACTTCCACTTCCTGAGCTTCAGTTTCCTCATCTTTCAAACAGGTTTTAGTTATTGCTTCCTGGTTGTCTTCATTGCAACTCAGAAAGATATTACTAAAACATATTGGAAGTTGTTAAATGTTGGTGACTTATAAGCAATGTGGAAAATATGCATTCTTTAATAAATGAAATAATATTGGTCAGGGTTTAACTGCTGTGTCTGAGTTACTGCACTGTCTAAATTTTGAAGCTTAGTCAGAGAAAGTGAATACCAGATTGACAAAATTTAGATTTCGATCATTGATCATAACATGTGCCAGCACCTAAAGGGTTCTAGGTCTTCTGATACCTAAGGTTGCAGAGCTCCTGCTCCCATGGAGTTCACAAACACCTTGAAAAAGCAAATGTTCAATGCACAAGCCAACAGACTATCAAACATCAGTCAAGTCACCACAGAAATAGAGGAAAACCGAGAGACCACCTCCGTGGGAGGGTCCACAGGGCCTAGCTCCTTAATGATGACCAAAATTGTTCAGGGTTATATCCCTCTGAACCCAAGTAGGGACCACAGACATCCGCTACCACACCTTGGTAATTCATTTTTACTTTTAAATTTTTTTGTAGAGATAGGGTCTCACCATGTTACCAAGGCTGGTCTCAAACTCCTGGGCTCAAGCCAATCCATTTGTCTTACCCTCCTAACGTGCTGAGATTACTGATATGAGCCACTACACTTAGCCAACAATTCAAATTTCCATATAGGTACAAACAAAGGGCATGGATACATAGGGAGAGGAATAATTAACACTGGAGGAAGAGAGGTAGAAATCAGTGAAGGTTTTATAGAGGACATGGCATTTTATTGAAGTCTTGCAAGATTGGTATTTCAGCAGATAGAGGAGATGAGGAACAGGGAGGGCCATCTAGTCAGGCTCTGAGGCATCAAAATGCATGGGGTATGGGGTAATGCAGAGGGAGATGAGGCTGGAAAGATGTTACATTGAGATATGGACTGGATAACACATGCAGAGGACCCAGGGTACAAAATTTAAGGAGACATGTAACTGCCTTTTCAGGATTGGGCAAGTGTAGGGTTGGTGCAGAGTTTGTGGCTTTTAAACAGATGATTGATTAAAAAATTTCCCGTATGGGGGACTTCCACTTATGGGAAAAGATACTTTTTCTTATTCTTCCGAAGTACAACTAAAATCTATGGACATTATATACAAAACAAACATAAGATTTGAATAGGTGGAGAGAAGAAGGAAGCCTAGCTAGGGACCTTGGGATCCAAGTAATAACATGGTAGCGAGTTCCCTAATTTTTTTTTTTTTTTTTTTTTGTCTCAGATTTCTAAACTTGGAGCTGAAGAAACAGGTAACTTGGAAACACCAATGGGTTCAGACAAAAGAGCCCCAACAAGAGACTATTTTTTCTGGCCCAAAGACCAGGAAATGGGCAGCTCAATGTGACAGAAAACTTTTAGATAATAGCTTCTGCATTCTAGGCAAACAAAGTAGAAAAAACTATAGCCCTATCCCAACTCCACCAGTGAAGGCTGAGTAGAGAGCCTAGATGTCTACTCTTACCAAGCTGTAAAGAAGTGTCCCAAAGCACTGCTCCACCAGGGTGGTGTCAGAGAAGGCTGAATAGAGAGCTGAGACTCAACTCTGGGTGATAACCTGACCCCTGTGGTATTAGTGGAGACGCCTTGGGGAGTCTGGATTTCCCCTCTGACCCAGTGGTAATGGGGCAACTTTGCATCTTGTTGGGATTCACCTGGGGTGGCTGGCAAAATATTAGGGAAAGTTATAGATTATAGTCTCAAACCTTTTGGAAGCCTGAAAGATTTTATTGGGGCAGCCTGGTCCATTATGTTAGGGAAAAGATAGGGATGATAAGAGACTTTCCCAGTTTAATTCTGTTTACCCCACATCCCTTTGTTTGTATTCTAACTGTTTACTCACGTAAACTTTGTGTGGGATGATCCTCTCAGGGGAAGGTCAAAAGGGAATTACCCATTAATAGTGTTTACTCTGGGCCCTGGAACCTAAAGCTTTTATCATTCTTGAAATCACTCTTTTAACCATGTTAATTATCCACAGGCATGTTAACTTAGAACCTCTGTTATAAAATTTTTACTGAATAAATGTGTGGAGGGACGGGGGTCTTGGTCTATAGGCAGCAGTCACCCTCGGAAAGCAGCTGACGACCATCCCTAGCCCACTTGGATCACTGAACCAGGTGTGAGAGTGCATTTATTCATCCGTCATTGAGTCAGGGTCTGCAGGACAGACCTCTGCAGGTGGTGATCAATGTCTCACCACCTAACTGCTGGTATGGCACCAGAGGAGGTCTGGGGAAATTTCCTGACTTTTCTTAACTCACAGTGGTAATGAGGCTGCCTTCACTGCAGTGTCAGTGGAGACTAAAACATAAAGGGATTTTCCTGTAGTCTTCATTATAAGAACCTGGAGAGCTCCGGGAGATATGACTCTTGAAAGTGTGCCCCCACCCAACAAAACAAAACAAAATTGGGCCCTCAGGAGTTTTAAAATATGCTAGTCCATATTCATCATCCAGGAAGATATCAGTTACCATTTAAGTGTTCTTACCAGTTGCCGGCTCTGGCAGTGGCCTCTGCTCCTAAGCTGGTATTCTCTGTATTCACCTCTCTCTTTAGTTTTGGGGGTGGTTCTTTGCCCTATGACTTCAGTTTTCTGGTTGACTTAGGAGTTGTTGATTCAGCTTTTATTCGGTCAGTGTATTCAGTTTTTTACTTGTGAGGATGCGAATAAATACTCCCAAGCTCTTCACATGTTGGTGCAGAAACCGGAAATTTTGTGTTCATTTTTACCCTTTTTTTTCTTTTTATATTGCAGTTTGGATAATCTCAACTTTCTTCAAGTTCACCAATTCTTTCTTCTGTCAGTTCACATCTGCTATTAAGCCCTTGTAGTGAATTTTTCATTTCCGTTATTGTACTTTCCAATGCCATAATTTCTTTTTGGTTCTTTTTAATAATTTTTATCTTTATTGATATTTTCTATGATGAAATTATTTTCGATTATTCTCATATTTAGTTTTTTGGACATGGATTCCTTTAAACAAATTTAAAGACTTTAAAAGTATTTTCTAGTAGGGTCAATGTCTGGGCTTCTTCCAGAAAAGTTTTTATTTATTGCTTTCCCACTCCTTTATGGGCCATACTCTCTTATAGACTTTTTTTCTTATTGGCTGTTTTGAAAACTGGACGTTTAAAATAATATAACATGGCATCACTGGGAATCAGAATCTTAACTAAAACTTTTCTTTGAGGGAAACAAAACCTGAAAAGGGGAGATTGAGTATTACATGGCTTAAGAGAGTATTTAGGCATATCCACTTCCATTTGTGCTAACATATATCCGGAAATGGAATGGAATTCAGAACTCCATGAAAGGGAACTGATGGCCAGAGGATTGATGTCACACAGCCTGTGTCCTGATTGGCACAGAAGTTGGAGCTAGATTATGAATATCCATTCTGCTAGCTCTGGTGGAAGACTGTTTCTAAAAGCAAGCACTTCAACTTTGGATGTTAATCATTAGAATTTTCTTTCTCAAGTTAAAGGTTTGAGAAATTCCTGATAAGATGTCCTATTCCCTGAAGTTTACTTTGACTGTATGTTTTTTTTACTGTTGGCTTTCATCCAGCCATGAAGTGTTAAAAGGTGGTAAGTATGCTTTGGCAGTCAGATTGTTTATTCTCCCCTGGCTCACTTTTTTCCAGTTTCAGAAAGTTAAACTAATTAATTATCCCAAATTAGATTTCTTGGGAGAATTTAAGATTTAGGAGGAAAAATGTCAGTTGTCAGAGAAAGAATTGTAAAGTTCTTTTCCTAAAACATGCATCATTTACAAATGGATTTGCATAGTCTCAGTATTGTTGGACAGTAACATTCCCACAGAAGATCTTTGAGCCTGATATCCAGTAAGGGGTCATTTCTGACTCTGAAAGTGAGCATAGCTCAGGAGGCCCGGGTGTTGGGGAGTGATGCCATCAACTCCAGTGCAGGCCTGCTTGTTATTTCCAGCTGCATATCACAATCTTTCCCTGTGAAAGAGAAAGATTCTTCCCAGGGTCTTTTTGATATCCTTCTCTCTGGACTTTGCATTTCAATTCCTTTTCATTGACAAATAAGCTTCCCCCCCGCCCCCGCCACTGCCCACCTCCCCCCCTACCCCCCCCCCCCCCTACCCCCATCTCTGGGCCAGCTTAGGATCTAGGCTGCCCTGGGAAGACATTGGTGTTTTACACACACAAACATCTATGTTTGGGGTTCCTTCTTCCTCCACTGAACATTGCTTAGTGGTTGTGTTGGGGGTGGGAGGCCACATGGGCTCACTGCTTTGCTTGCACTTCTCTGCCTAGGTACATCAACGTCTTTTGACCTCCGTACAATAATTATGCTTGTCATTGCTGGTGGTATCCTGATGGCCTTGCTCCTGCTGGTAGTTGTTGTGCTCTGTCTTTACTTCAAAATAGGCAACGCACTAAAGTGAGTCACCTGGGGAAAAGGGAATAACACTCCCTCAATGGGATATCTGGGCTCCCTGTTGGAGCAAGTTTATTCCTTGCTACTGTGGCCATATTCCTAGGTGAGGTCAAGAAGAACAGGCAGCTTTGAAAAGGCAAAAAGGCAGCTGAGTGCATAATCTTATTTGTTTTCCTTCCTGGCTGGGTTTTGTAGAATGTTCTCAGCTTGGGGCTGTGAGTGTCAGTGCTGCTTGGCTGTCACAGGACCTCACCAAGTTTACCATCTGGTGTTTAGTTCAGTACCATGGCCAACCCTCCCTCTGTCCTGGGCACTGTAGGCTGAAGATTCTGTAGGGGAGGCTGCGTGAATGAGCTCTGCCTTGTGCTCACATGGAGGACAGGCTGCTGGATTGATTTCTTCTTGCCTGTGTTGGGAGCTCTCCATTTGTTTCTGACGGCCTTGGGGAAAATAACTGGGCCTCTAGATCTCAGGGACAGCTGAACTGTGTGAAAAACCTGGGGGACAGCGGACAAGGGAGGGTAGGTCAGATAAGAGAAGATTGCAGTTTGGGGAGAAGACCCTTTAAGTACAGTAGAGATTAGTTGTCAGATGCAATTGTGTCCCCATTCAAAGGAGTTCACAATGGCACATCCGGGAGCCCTGGGCACAGCTGAATGCAGCACCTTCTCATCATTTCTGCATCTTGAGGGCCTGCAGTAACCAGCTGGGTGACTTTGCTTGCGAATTCACTCACTCTTACTTTTATAACCTCAGTTTACATTTATAGCAATCATAGGAGAGGAAAAAAATTGAGAGGAACTTGGGAGAGGGGTGAGAGCTTTAATTTAGGACTGGTGTTCATGTTTGATTGGCTTCAGCACTAAACTTCCCAGATATCCCCAACATTTCTAACAAAAGGACTGAGAAGAAAAAATTCTAAGCCTGTGCTTTGTGTGTGTCTTTTCTCAAGAGCTGCAAAGGAATCTGGTCACAACCCAGACAAAGTGTTGTATGCCAAGAACAGCCAGGCCAACACCATTGCCACAGAGTCTTGTCCTGCCCTACAGTGCTGTGAAGGATGTACAATATACGCCGATTTTGATTCCCTGCCACCTTGCTGTTGTGACATAAATGAGGGCCTCTGACCTGGGAAAGGTGGGCACAAAAATCTTCATGAGCAGTATTTCTTTCTTAATAGAATATTTTGTTATTCAAATCAAGTTCTAGGGATTTTATGTGTTACTATATAATTTACAGTGTTGTTTTATATACTTTTGAATAAATGTACAATATTAAAAAGAATCGTCTCTGCCTCTAGTATTTTTTATGGTTAATCATAAACATGTTTTGTTTAAATATATTTATTACTCACTTTGGAAGGTGGGGGAACTAGCTTGTAGCATTGCAATAGAAGAAAGAGAGTTGGAGTAGAAAATAAGTGTCCAGCACATCTCCCACCCTAGAAGGAAAATGCACACTGATCTTAGGACATGCCCAGTTTCAGCCCCAGGTGATCTTGTCCAGCTGGAGTTGCTCATTTAGTTGTCCTGAGGGCTTGGGTGGTTGGCATCCACTGCAGAAAATGGTGTCATGTTGTCCTGACACCTGTCCTGTTGTCCTGTCCATTTGTGCAAGACAGTGAGAGGAGCCAGGCGGGACCTCCCTGTGTTAAAGTTGTCTGACCTGTGTAAGATAGGCCTGAGCTCAGTGGCCTCAAAAGGACATTTTGAAAACCATATTCCTCCTGCTGCAACCCCCAAATCTTCAGAGCATGTGGCTCCTTTCTGGGTCACGGTAACAGTGATGTGTGTTGATCTAGCCATCAACATCTTCAACTGTAACAGGAACCATCAGCCAAAGGCCAAAGCCTAGACTCCCTGACCACAACAACAGGCAGCAGGAAGCACCCCTCCCCACATCTACTCCCAACTGCCTTCTGTTCTGCTCCTTCCCCTGAGACTCCTGGAACCCCTTTCTAAGCATGATTCCCCATCTGTAACCATGTGCACTCCTCTCATGAACTAAACCCTTGCTTGTGACCATCACATGTATACTGAATGTAAGGAATTATTAGCTAGTAACAGGTGGTAACCTACTAAAAGGGGGTAAAAAGGAAACAGAAGTTGCAAATGAAGGAAATAGGTGTGACATGTAGGCACATAAATGGGCCAGATGTGGGTAGAGGAGCTGCAGATGTGGGTAGAAGCCAAGCACCTCCTGGAGGCTGAGCCTTGAGCCCTCACATACTTGGGAAGAGGCCAAGTCAGGGAAACCTCCAGCTGGAGGTCACTTGTCCCCCTCAAGTTTCTGGACACTGTCTCCATCCCCTGCCTTTGAATTTCTGTCACCAGCAAGCTCTGAGCAGATGGAACACATACAAATCCCCTCTTATCCCACCCACTGGATGGCCCAGTGCCTGGACCCAAGAGGCCTGTGCCAGGGCCTCTCTGCATGGGCAACTACACCTGGTGCAGGTATTGCAGGGACCGTGAGGGAGGCAGGTGGGACAAGGGTCTTCAGGATGCTCCCATTCGCAGGAGGGCAGAACACCACACATGGGCTTTACAGCCCTATGGACTCGATTCCCATCCCAACTCAGCCTTCACCAGGGAAAGTCCCTTGACTCCTCTGAGCCTCTGTGTCCTTGGTGTGAAGTGGGGACTTGCACAGGTGACAGGGAAGAAGCAGTGAGATGAGGCAGGGTGACCCCACAACACCCCATGGTTCCCAGGAAGTTGCCAGAGGCCTGAAGGTGGCTTCTCTCCTGACTGGACCTGGAATCCTGGGTCCTTTACCAGGGCCACTGACAGAGTGTGGTCATGAAACTCTCGCACTCAGTGGAGAGGGATCAGGGATGTTGAAGATCCCAGCCATGGGAGAGGAAGAGCGATCAGAGGGAAAGCCCAGGGTGGGGGTGAGATTCGTGGACACAGCTGCAAACAGTTAGTAACCAGAAGGGTGCCCCACCTCAAACACCTGTGCCCTGCTAACTCACCCCAGGACACCCAGTCCCACCTCATTCACAGCCAGACCAGGCAGATAGGAATGGAGCAGAGCCTTGGGGAGGGTCCAAGCTCCTCCTGAGCACCAAGTCATGGCATCTCAGGTGCTGCCTTTCCCCTGCAGCATCAGGTGTGGGCCCAAAAAGGAATGGATCTCCTGAGTCACAGCATAGGACTGTACTCTCTCTAGGGAGGTGTCCTGGGCTGCAGCACAGTCAGAACAACAGAGTGGCTGACGGTAGCCAGAGGGTTTTACCCTAGGAGACACAGCCTACATCGGTGTCATAACGCCACAGAGCTGCACAAAGGTTCTTCAAAAAGTAGCCAGTCCCGGCATTATTCACTCAAAATGTTCCACCTGAACTTAGAGTAAAACCCAGACTCCTCATTTGCCCTGTGAGTCCTTCCCTATCTGACCTTCACCTGCTCCTCTCCATCCTCCCCTCCCAGCTCGCTCCTCTCACTCACATACAGCCAGGCTGTTCTTTCTTCCCTACTATTGTAGGTGTGCCCATCTAGTCCCTGCCTCAGGGCCTTTGCACTTGGCCTCTCTTATGCCTAAGATGCAAGCTCCTAAGCCAGGGTCACACATGAATGCCTCCCTCTTATCTTTCTGCCTTTGTTCAGATTTCATCTCTCAACATGCCCTCCTTCTCACTGTCAGATTTTCTCCCCACCCCAAGCAACCACCATCTATGCAGTCATCCTGTTTATTGTAGCTATAGCTCCTGTCACTATTTGAATTCTTCATTTATTTTTGTTGTCTAACTCTCCACTTAGAATCCAAGTTTCATGAGGGCAAGACTGTCTCTCACATTCAATTCTATGTTGCTTAGGCGCTAGACCAATAAGTAATATTTACTGATTGAGTGAATGAATGAATGAATGAATGAATTAAAAGAGGGCAGCTCCCACCCACCACCACCTGCTCCTCCCAGTCTCACTGTGGACGCTGGGATTTCTTTCTCTCGGCTGGAAAACACCATACCAGAGTGACTAATTCACTTGCTTCAGCCTCTCCAGACATAACCGGCTAGAAATCCCTGTAGGGAAATCTGGATCTGCACTCTTTCCTCTTCATCCTCTACCCTCTTCCCCTCTGCTACAGGGTCAGCCACCAGGCAGGGCATCTGAATGTGCCAGCTGGACCCAGATTTTGCCCAGGTGCTGCACCCCCTGCCTTGCCCCACTGGCCTGTTGTTCCCCCACAGGTTCCCTTCTCAAAGCAGAGCCCTGAAGACTTCAGATGTCAATGAGACCACCTGTTTGTGATGTGCAGGCATAGAAGAAAGGCACAGCTCCCTGTCAGTTTCAGGGAAAACAACACAGTGCCTGCTGGGAACCAGCTGCTAGAGATCCCCACAAAGAGCCTCTACTGGGGGCAACATTTCCAGGAAGGAGTTGGGGAGAGAGAACCCTCACTGTGGGGACTGCTGATAAGAAACTAGTTGCACAGCTGCTCTGTTCTCACACAAATCTACCCCTTGTGTGGCTGGAACTGACATTTCCCTGGAGGTGTCCAGAAAGCTGATGTAACACAGAGCCTGTAAAAGCTGCCAGTCCTTAAGGCTGACAAGCCCCTTGCCAAGATGGAGCTTGTAAGGAGGCTTATGCCTTTGACCCTCTTAATTCTCTCTTGTTTGGTGGAGTTGACATTGGCAGAGGCTGAAGGTAAGAAAACAACCAGATTTATTCACTAAAACAGAGAAGTTCTCTTCTTAAGAGGCCTCTTTCAGAATTTTTCAAAGTGTTTATGTCTGTTGGCCTCAGTTCAGAGAAAAATGTACTCTAATACTCTTGGGGGGCAATTTTAAATTCTAATTTTATTTGGGCTCATCTGACAACATCAATAAAAATATCAAAAGTGTATAGATTTTACTGAGTAATTTCACTGCTAAGAGTTTATGTTTTGTAAATAAGCATAAAAGTGTCCAAAGATATAGGTATAAATATGTGCACTTACATAATTGTAAACAACGACACAAATTTTCATTGTTAGGGTAAATCCATACAATGGAACACTCTTTATGGCAAATTAAAATAACTCTGATCTGTAGTGTGTCCATAGTCTACATTAAGAGAGAAAAAAGATCTGAAGTTTCTACAATATGATGGTTCTTATGTTTGAAATATATACATTCGAGCATTTTAAACATGTAGAAATAGAGAAAAGGAACAGGTGTAGAAGTGTTTACACCAAGGTTTCGATGATGATTGTTTCTGGGTGGCTGGGGTTATGGGAGTATAAATAAAAATAAAGCTTTGTTCCTATGTAGGTGGAGTTTTTGAGGATTAGTCAAAATCTTGGTGGGATTTTGAATTAGTACTAATTTTATTTGGGCCCATCTGACAATGCACATAAAAATATTAAAATTTACCAAATAATTAAAAATATTTTATAGTTGGGGTTTCACTACATTGCCCAGGCTGGTCTCAAACTCCTGAGCTCAAGCAATCCACCCGCTTTGGCCTCCCAAAGTGCTGAGATTACAAGTGTGAGCCACCACGACCAGCCCCTTACTGGGTAATTCCACTGCTAACAGTTTAGGATCCAGTGATTTTTCCTCTTCCCCTTTTCTCTTTTTTTCCTATTTTTTAAGGTTTATTAACATATGATTTGCATACCATAAAATCCACCATTTTAAAGTATACAATTTAGTGTTTGGTAGTATATATGCAAAATTGCGCAAACATCACCACTATCTAATTCCAGAACATATTCTTCACCCCCGAAAGAAACCGTCTCAAGCCCAGCACAGTGGTTCAAGCCTACAATCTCAGCACTCTGGGAGGCCGACATGGAAGCATTGCTTGAGGCCGGGAGTCTGAGACCACCCTGAAAAACATAGTGAGACCCCAATGCTAAGAAGTTTAAAAAAATATTTTAGCCAGGTGTGGTGGTACATGACTGTAGTCCCAGCTACTCTGGAGGCTGAGGTGGGAGGATCACTTGAGCCCAGGAGTTTCAGGCTGCAGTGAGCTATGATTGTGCCATCGCAATCCAGTATAGGTAACAGAGTGAGATTCTCTCTCTCTCTCTCTCTCCATATATATATATATATATATATATATATATACGCTAATGTTGCAATGAATATTAGTGTACAAGCTTTTGTGGAGATATGTATATATATGAAGAAACCGTATTCATTACTAGTCACTCTCCATTTCTCCTGATGTCTCCAGCACAAGGAAACCACTACTCTACTTTCTGTCTCTGTAAATTTACTTATTCTGGATATTTCACATAAATGAAATCATGTAATATATGGTCTTTCACTTAGCATAATATTTTCAAGG